ATTCACAGCTCAATCTGCTTACAAACATTCAGCTACAATGTGGAACTTCAAACCTTGCTAAAAAAGAGACAGGATTCAGCAGTGGCTCTTTGTGATCTAGCATACAACAGAAATATATTGACAAATAAAAGGGCAAAGTCCCTTCCCTGTTTCAAGAGATAAAATTCACAACTTATAATTCATGCCTGAACCTGCTGTACACCACTGCCTGTTTACAATGTGAAGAGATCCTGCACTCTTTGGGCATAATTTGTATTGCTATGTGGTGTAGGGAGGCTTTGTTGCCACAGAGAATCAGGATCATTGCATTCTTTCATGCAAAGCATGTAGAACCAACCAAGACATTTGGTACCCAGGGGCAGTGATTTTCTGGACAGCAGCCAAGTGAGCAGAGAAGATCTGGAATGATTTTAAGTCACACCTCAGAGAAAAAAAAAATAAATATATATATATATATATATACACACACACATATATAAGAATATCTTGGGATACAGGAATGTAGCTCAAATGAAGTTACATTTGTTTGACTTCTTTTTTTCATTTCAGAACTGCACTACTGACCAAATCTCTCAGTTGTACGCATCTACCATGCTCTCACTCACATTTTATAGTAGACTCAGAGTATAGAAACTGGCTTCCTTTCAGATGATGCTTAGAGAGAAGATGCTGAACAGCTACTAAAGAACATGCATGCCAGCCTGGAATTCATTTGAAATAATCCCCCAAGCAAAAATATGTGTTTGGGACCTCAGTAATGTCTCTCTGACTCTCACAGAGTGGGTTCACACTATTTCCTAATGTGAGCACATCTGTATTTTTTATTTTATTCTACTCTGGGAACAAAGTAACAGCACAGGACTCAGCTCACAGTGATAAAGAATATCTATGACCTTGCAGGAAGAGAGCAGGGCAGACAGGGATTGACATCCTCTGCTACAGAAATCACAGAATTACCTGAATTAAAACAATTCAGGTGGCATGTCTGCATAATGCGGCTGAAGTGCACAATTATTTTCTTATTTGGATAAAGTTACACAAGTAGAGGCACATTTCAACATAGTATATTAGATACTCCAACTATACTCATTCTTCAGGATACTACAGGCTATTTCTGTGAGGTAGAGTGGCAAGGGAACATTAGCAGCATGAAATATTAATCTTTCCATCATTTTATTCCTGAGTCTGGCCTAGGTTTTCCAAGTAAAATGTGTTCTCTTTCCACTTGAAGACACCACACCTCTTATTTGGAATTCCAGCTGCTCTGTAAAATTCAGAATTGATTACCTTAATGACAGCTAATAGGCAGAACTGTTCTATTGATCTGATTCCACTCCTCCACGGAGCCCACTTCAATAAGGCAGACCTCAAGCTATTTTATCTCTTCACTTATTTTTTGGTATTTTACATGGAGTTCCATGCAGTCATTAGCAACCTTGTCTAGGACATGAGCACATTTCAGAACAGGATCTTCTTCCCCAATAAGCCCATGACAGTTCTTCTCTACACAGCAAGAGAAATGAGAACAATCCTTATCCTCAGTCTTCAAATACCCAATTAACCAATCAACCCTTTAAACATGTTTTATAAAAATTGTTCTTTGAGGATCTGTGATCCTGTTATACTTGATATGCTGACTCACTTTTTAAAATATTTAAAAGTCTCATTTTAGCATTATGCCTGCTATCAAATTTTCATTAAAAAATCAGCCTCCTTATCTTTATATATGACTGCAGAGCTATTTGCATTCCCAAAGGCCATTAAAAGTAGCAAGAATTGGGCTAAACGAAGATAACAAATTTACAGGCTTATGTTAAAACACAGAGTTCTTCAGCCTGTGTAAATAGCTAAAGCGTTGGCAGAGTACTTGACCTGCTGTTGCTATTTTCCTCCCCTTTTTAATGGAAAAGTGTTTTAATGGCATATCCACACATCCAGCTAACAAACCCCGAGGGGGAGAACAAGATTCTCTAGTCCTCTTGAGCCAGATCCCGAGTCTATCAGTGCCTGCATGCTTTGCCACGGATTTCTGAGCACTGGGTGTAGCAGAAAGCCAAGAGTGATAATGTGCACTGCACGGTGCCCAACTCCAGCCTCCCAACAAGAACCCACAGCTGTGTCAGGAGCAGCCAAGTGCACAGAGGCAACCACGTCCAACTCACATCTTGATCAAGCAATCACAACTTGACAGTAACAGACAGCATTACTTATCACCTACAGAATGTTTTCTGTACATGATGTCCAAAAGACTTAGAGTTCAGACCCATGAGACAGATAAGCCAGGAGATAAATGATTGGAATTCTGAGCAGTTTAACTGGCATGGAGGTGAGCAGCATTGCTTATCAGAAATAAATTGTATAGAAACATTTTTAATTACCTAGGGAAGAGAGGGATTGTCTGCCTTCAGCAGCTAAAGCAGTGCTTTGCTTATCTCCACATCCCAATCATTTTCTAATTATTATCTTTTTTGTAAGATAGAACATGACTTCATTTGCATATAGACATATGAGCCTAAAGTAGATTTTTAAATTTACAGCCTGCAAAGCTTCTGCAGATGTTTTCAAACTTTCCCCACCCTGTTCCTGCAATGTCTTTTCATGGCCAGCTTCTGTTTGGGTTAGTTTGATAGGACACAGCACAGATTTAAGCCAACTGTGACACTTGCTTGCCTCTGGATCCAGGGAATGTCACAGCAAGGAACACAGAAAAGGGATGGTCAAAATCTCTTACGACAGCAGCAGCTGCTACTGAAAAAGATTCAGTCCTCTACAGCCAGACCAGCACTTTGCCTTCAATTTTTCTCCAAGCTACATTTTTCAGTTTCTTGATCACTTTTAAGCAAGGAAAAAAAAAATCTCAGTAATTCTTGATATGCATAAGCCTGGAAATAGATTTCAGCTAGAAATAGAATTTGAATAGAGCCTTTTTTCAGTTATGAACAGTTTTAGATAAAATAAGGGTTTAGATCTGCTTTTGGTGCTGGAAGATAAAAGTGCACTCAAATCAATAGACAGAGATTGGATTCAACCCCCCGCTGTCGAGCCATTTTACTAATAATGTATTGTGAAAACAATAAAGGAAATGATGGGAGTGAGCAAAGTTGCTCACAGACTCAGACATTAATATTCATCAATATGATTGATATTTATATATTCTTGATATTTCTATTTCATGCTCATGCTAGGGCAGAGCTGAGAGAGCACGTATTTCCAGAATATTTAAGTGTACCATATGGGTATAATTGCAATTCAGCCAGTTATAGAATATCCTCAATCAAGATCCTGCATATACTAAAGACCTATTCTGAGCATTTTGTACTTCATGCAGGAAGACTAAAGTAGCAAAGACATGGCATGCCAACAGAAAAATGGCATTAGGCAGGTAACACTACTTGAACCAAAACCACATCTGCTTTATAAAAAGGCAATATATACTTCTTGACTTACAAAACCCAACACTTTTACACAGCTGTAAGAAGGAGGAAGGGACAGCCCCACAGCCCTCTTTGTTCAGAAAAGGCACTTATAAACCCCTGCCTCCCAGAAACACAGGCAGACTTTAAACCTGCAGCAAACAGTGACAAAAATATATATTCCAAAAGCATTGAAAAGAGAAGAAAAGTCCAACACTTTCAGGGTTAGATGAAGCCATAGGTTCTTAATCCCAAAAATCAAAGTTGTTTTCTTCTTGTTTTCTCTGAACCATTGAGCCTGCCTGCTTTGGTCATTGGTATAATGTCACCCTGAAAATGCAGATTATATGTTCCTATTTATGGTGCTTAGTGTCTTCCATGCTCTTCCCTTCCCTAAAACACTGTACCAAGAAAAAAAAAAGAAAAACAATATGTGAGGCTCTCAGCCTATCACACCAGGAAGAACTATTTTAAGAATTAATTTGTGCCCTGAGAGAGCTGTTTAAATTATCCTCCTGTGCTGTCCTAACCAAAGAGTAAAGTGGAAAACTTCCAGTGTTTTAAGGAAATGAGGAAAAATTGGAGAACTGGAGCATCTGAGCTCCACCACGGTGCCCCAGGCATGGCCCGAGCATGGGGAGAGGAAGGTGGGGATGAGGAGAACGGAGATGTTGATGTGCCAGTGCCCCCAGAGCCCAGGAACCTTCACCAGCCTCAGCTGGAGCTCCAAGATCGCAGCCAGACTTTCCCTTATGCCACCACTTTTTAACTCTGCCCATCCTTTACAGCTGAGGATACAGCCCTTTTTTTTCTGCCACCCGCTGCTTTTTAGACAGGGAAAGTTTTGACTTCATTCCATCCTGGTAAGTGCAGGCAGAGAGGAATATCCTCCAGAATACAGGTTTGACAGAGAAAATGAAGTCTTTAACTTTCCACCTCTAAAGAAACACATAAAGCACCTACCAAGAGAAATAAATTAACTGAGTTCAGATATGCTGTGAGCACAGCAATTTCCCCCAAAGCCAGTAGGAGTTTCACCTACTTGCAGCTGCTTTTTGCCCCCCATGCCATCCCTGCTTGCTCATGCACAGCCTGGGCACACGCTGTACCCTGAAGTGCCCCTCCGAGACAACGTCAGGCAAGAAAAATTCACTGAAAGTGCATGACAAAGTCAGAAGCTTAACCCCACTTTTATAATTTTATATGTATCTACAGAGGGTTTTTAAACACCCTTGCCCCCTTCCTCCAGTGAGAAGGGGCCTCCATCCCAACATACTCCCCCCTCCCAGCAACATGTAAGGAACAAGTTACAGAACAAACCTCTACAGCCTTCAGCAAGAGGCACAGGCTGTTAAAAATAGCAGAATTTCAGCTTCCCCCCCAAAGTCTCCACACACACCGAGAAAGCAGACCTTGAACCCAGCTACACAGCACTTTCCTCCTGCCACTGGCTGGTGACTCAGTTGACAATTTTAAGAGCACACACCAAAAAGATTTTTTTTAAAAAAAGTCATAATAATCATACAACAAACACAAAGCTACACATTGCAAATCTGTATGTTTGAAATCGAGGAAAATAAGCATTACCTGGTCTTGCTGTTGGGCTTGTTTCCCTGATGCATTTTGCTCCTTGGCTGTAGTCATGCTCACCTATTTGTGCCCACTGCAGAGGCAAACAGGATTTTACTCTGTGTGTGTGTGTGTGTGTGTGTGTGTGAGCTCGTCTGTGTGTTCAGACATACACGCACACACACACACACAAAGACTAAAGGGATACGGATGAGTAACTAGTCCATCACTTAATCACCAGCTGAGAAATCTCCCACCCCCACAAAAAGAAATAAATAAAAACGCAATGTAAAAAAGCACTAGTCTGGCTGTCTTCCCCCTTGAGCCTCTAAAATAAAAGCAGAAGCAGGAGCAGAGAGAAGGATGCTGTGGGGGCTTCTTCAATTAGCAACAGCCTCTGCAATCGTCACAGAAACAATGATAACTGCTTGGCAACCAGCAACTGGCAGCTCGGAGCCGGAGGCAGCGATGTGGTCCTCGCTCCCTCCCCACCTCCACGGCGGCCGCCCGCGCCTTGCGCATGCACCGGGCTCGCAGCGATCCGCACGGCCGGCACTCATCCATCCATCCGTCCATCCGTCCGTCCATCCATCCATCCATCCGTCCGTCCGTCCGTCCGTCCCCCCATCCCCCTCCCGGGGCAGGGCGAGCGGGGCCTCTGCCCCATCCTGATCTCCTTTGGAATCGCTGCCCCATCCCAATCCCCCTATGGAGCCGCTGCCCTATCCCCATCCCCCTATGGAGCCGCTGCCCCATCCTGCATCCTCCTATGGAGCCGCTGCCCTATCCCCATCCCCCTATGGAGCCTCTGCCCCATCCTGCA